CCAGGACCCCAAAGCAGAGACCCAGGGCCCGAGCAGGATTCAGGGGATGAGCAGAGAAGCAGGCCTGGCCTACCCAGGAAGTCCTGGAGCCCCGCGGTGCCAGCTTCCAGATAGCAGCCCAAGCAGGCCGGAGCCCTCACTTGGGTGATGTCATCCTTTTGAGCCGGGAGGGAAGGGGCGGAGCCCGGCTGGAGCTCTGCGGACTTCACAGGCTCCACCCCCAGACCAGCTCAGCTCCAGGCCCTGTCTGCCCGGCTCCAACCAGGCCTCCAGGCCAGCCTGCCTTCGGGAAACTGCAGAGCCCGGGGAGGGAGAAGGGAGGAGGGTCCCCGCACACTCACCCCTGCAGAAGGCTTGCCTGGGGCCCTCGTCCACCCCATCGCCGTCCACCTAGGGGAGCCCCGAGCTTCCAAGGCCCTGAGCCTGCTGGCAGGAGGCCCTTTTCCTGGTATCCCAGCCTCAGCCTCCCTCTCCCCCCAGAAAGTCCAGAAATGTTCGTCTGCTCTGCAAAGTACCAGGTGTCCCAGTGGAATGTCTTCTCTAAATAGTGCTGCGGGAGGACGACCAGGGAGACAGGCCCTGTCCTGGGCTCATTAGCGCTGAGCTAAAGGAATAAAAGCTCTGAGCTGAATCTGAGACTGTTCTGAGCCCCAAAGCCAGACAGCCCTCCTACAGAATGGCCCCATCACCTCTCACATGCTCCTGTGGACAGAAGCCAGTTAGAGGCCAGCTGCTGTCCTCCTTCCATAGCTGGCACTGGCCCCAGCGTGCTGCCCGCCCTCCTTGCGCTACCCCGGCCTGTACCAGCCACCATGGCACAGCTCACTGAGGACTCAGGCTCGGCCAAACCCGGCCTTCCCACGCCCGGCTCAGGGTGCTAGTGGGGGTTGCCTCTGGGCAGTGGAGCTGGGGTATCGCAGATTCAAGAGCAGCCCATCCGCACCACAGGGCCTCCTGTCCTGGCAGCTGCTTGGCACGGCTCCAGGGCCCAGGAACAGAGAGGAGCTCTCCCAGGCACAAGCCCACAGGAGCCTGGGAGCAGGGCCCACGTGAGCCCACACGCCCAGGGCAGATGCTGGACCCCGTGCGGCACTCCCGGCTCTTCCTAAGCCCTTGGCCTTGTAGCCAGGACGTGTCTGGGGCGGACACGAGTGAAGATGAGGGTGAAAGCAGTGGGAAGGAAGGGCGACTGGGAGTGAAATTTCTGCTTTGTTTCACTGAGCCCTGGACCAGGAGCCCTGGACCAGGAGCCCTGGCACGAGCAGCTGCGGGACCCACTCACACCGGGAAAATGCTGCCCCTACCTTTGCTGGCTCTCAGACTGGACGTCACACATGGGCCCAATGGCCCTAAGAGCCCATGTGTCACGCGTGTTACACTTCCCAGGCTGCTTCCTCATATATCAGGGTTGGTTCCCATAACACTGCCATGATGGAGATAAAGCGATGGTATTTTCATTTACTCTGTGGATGAGGAAAGTGAGGCTGGATCTGAGTATCTCTTTATTGATGGCCTCACAAGGCAAGTGAGGTTATGCAACGATAAATGAACCAAGGAACTTAATATGAGCCAGGCTGAGCGGACAGCCCAGGCTCCCAGCCTCCTTCCCCACATGACCTTGCTGCCCGTACTCAGCCCTGAGGGAAGAGGCGCGGCTGGGAAGACGTGTCCACCCAGGGATGCTGCTTGAGGAAGGAGGGGGTGTGTGACGGGTGGACTGTCACCCTGCACGGGGCCTGGAACAGAGGGGCTCGGGGCGTGTGAGCACGTACTGCGCTGCGCGTTTTCAAGGTGAGCTGGGGAAGGCACGTGAGCATGCTGGAGGTCACCGTGCAGCGTGCATGTCGACCCCCGAACCATGACAAACGCGGGACGGGAAGATGCCCAGGGAAGGGAAGGATGTCTTCCTGCGGAGATGTGAGCAGGGTCTGGGTGTGTTTGTCTGGGTGACGGTAAGAAGGAAGTTCTGCAGACAGGTTCACGCATGTGTCCACGATCGTGGCCTTTGCGTCGGGTGTGCACACGTGTACCTGTGTGTGGGCGCCGGTGAGCAAGTGTGTAAAGGAAACTAGCACACCTGGGCCAGGCGCTTCCTGGTGCTGCCGCTAAGATGCTGAGTCAGGCGCCTCTGCTGTCCTCTCCCAGGGGCCTCAGGGCGTCTTCCTCCCCAGACAAAAAGGTGAGTGAGCCTGCTCCCCCTGCAGCAGCACCTCCACTCTCCGCCCTCCACATCTGCAGTTCACAGAGGACCTGAGTGGTCAGTTAGAGACATTTAAATTCCAGGAGTGCTGAGGAGGCCCAGGAAGAGGGAGGAAAAGGCGGCGTGGATTCCGAAGGAGGGACTGGAGTTTGCAGATCTTATCACGCGGCACCTGGCACCTGGAGCCCCCGAGTCCTGTTGAAGCCACGCTGGGCCAGAAGCACAAAGGCCAGGTGGTACCAGGACCTGCCCCCTTCCATGCCCAGAGCCGCAGTCCACAGGCCCTGGAGCAGAGGGGCTGCATCTCCCCCGCCCATCCCGTCCGCTCCCAGCAGGTGCCCCAGGCTGAGGACGCGGGGCCTCCCCCGTGCAGGGCGCCCAGCTGCCCAGGAAGCCGACCCTGTCGAAGCCCACCCGCTCCATCTCCAGGTGTCTGGGCTGCACTGATCTGTGAGGCCGTTACCTCTGTCAGAGCAGGCGACCTCGGCCTCAGGCCCAAAGTGGGGGGGGGGGGGGGGGGGCCGGGGAGGGAGGGGGGGCGGGGGGGGGGGGGGGGGGGGGCCGGGAGCATAGCGCGGGTCTGGGCCCAGGTCCCAGCCCCCCTGGGGCGTCAGCACATGGAAGCTCTTCTCCCCGTCCCCTCAGTGGAGGACACACCTGTAGGGACCACGGCAGAGATTCTGGGCACATCCGTGCCGGGAGGAGCCTCAGCTCTACTTCAGTGTCCAGCCCCCTCATTCCACAGATGAGAAAGCTGAGACCCCCGAAGCGGGGGGGGGGGGCTTGGCCAGGGTCACAGAGCTTGTCAGGCCGCACCAAGACTGTAATGTGTCAGGATTTTTGCAAATGGGTCTTCTATAGTTTGGTAGGACTTAGAAATGTTTCCATAGCCTGGACTGTCTGGGCCCTAATCCGCACTGTGATTAAAATTCAGCCGCACACCTCTCGCTGGGAAACGCAGTGATGGAGCGGAGCCCTCAGCACAGGCTGGGCAGCTGCTTCCTGCTCTTCATACAGGGCCTCTACGCACAAGGCCCTTGCGTCAGCTTCCCGGGCTTGTGAGCCCTTCCAAGCCTCGGCAGACTTCTGAATGTCTGTGCTCTGGACATTCTTCTGGAGAGAAGCTTACAGCCTTAATTGATTTACAAAGAGATGCAGGAGGTGAAAGGTTGAGAATTGTTGCCTGAAAGCATCAGGAATCCAGACTCCAGAGAAATCAGATCTTCACAGCCAGTTGCTAAGCGCCTTTGCAGCATTTACAGACATAAAAGCGTTGGGCTCCTGTTCCCTGGGTTTATGCGTGTATATTTTTCAATATGAAAGCGCTTCTAAGCTCTAGGATGTAAGTTCCTCAAGGGCAAGTTTCTGGCCCACTTGTTCACTCTCTAAGCCATCCTTGAAGCCTGGGTCAGGGCCTGGGCAGATGAAAATGAGATTAATGTATTGATCTAGGCACTTCTCTTCCATGCCCACCACTACCTGGTCTGCAGAGATGACAAGAATCGCAGTCATACGGAGGCAGTGACTCAAGAATTGCACGAATTATTTTATGATTCAGTGCTATTTTTCAGCACCCTTTTCATCTCCTGTGAAAGACTGATCACCTTTGGGGAGGTGAAGGCAAACCCAGACCTCCTGACGCATCCTGGGAGGCGTTCCACCACTGCCCAAGACCCTTTGGTGGGGTGGGGGGGAGGTTGCTCGTGCAGACAGGAGGGCAGAGCTTCCAGAAGCAGGGCAGCTGTGCCTGGCATGTCTCAGACCCCAGACCTGGGGAGTCTGAGTCCTCAGCTGCAAAGAGAGAAGAATTCTGAGTCCACCGAGGACCAGTGTGCCTGGCCTCAGGACACAGGCTGCAAGCCCCGGCCTCTCCACCTTGCCTCTGACCCTACTTTCCTGTCCCACTTTGTAGCCTCTGCAGCTCAGCCACTAAGCCCCCCGGGGATTAAGACACTGGGGGAGGAGGCCGGAGGGCAGCTCATCTGGGGGCGGGGCCGCCTTCCCGAGAAGGAGGACGGACCAGGAGCTGGGGTCCCAGGCCCCCTGGACCCGCCCTCCTCTCCTTCGTCAGGCTTGCCTGGGGGCAGGACCCTCCTTTGGGGAGCCGAGCTCTGTGCAGTGGCTGCACAGCTGCTGCTTCTGTCTGGGGCTAAAAATAGCCTCTTCTCTGCCCTTGTCCAGCTCAGGCTGGGCCAAGGCTGAGAGGGGGACTCACGGGCAGGAGGGGAAACAGGTGGGCAACACTCAAGTGCTGCACGAACGGGCACAGCCTAGGGGACACAGGGGACCCCCCAGGGGGGACAGAGACCCCCCGGAGGAGATGGGGGACCCCCTGGGGGAGACAGGAGACTCAGGTCCTGCATATTGACTCTGACGCCCCAGAAACTCCCCCAGGGAAGGGATGGGGTTCCTCGGGGCAGTGCTTCTGAGGGGAAGGAGCCGTGCAAAGACTCAGCCAGCTGACCTGGCCCTTAGGAGGTACTTGCCAGGTGCCTGCTTTCACTGGTTGAAGCACCACAGACATAAAAGGACCCTATGATGTAGGTGGTGGTATTATTATTCCCTTTGGCAGTTGAAGAAACAAAGGCCCAGAGACACGAACTCGCGGAAGCCACGGAGCCATCAGGTGGAGGCCGCAGCCCGAATGCAGAGCCGACCCCAAGCACGGCGAGGCCCAGCTGGCCTGGGTACAACCGTCTGGGAAGAGGATACAGGGTCCCAGAGCTGCCCCGAGGAGACGGGCACGGTGGCCCCAGCACCACCCTCCAAAGGGCTCATCGTAATCCTGGACACAGGACACGTCCCAAGGCCCAGAGCCACTTCCTCAGATTTGCTCCGAATTTTCAGGTAAATCCTCTCTGGCCACCACACCCCCGTTTCCTGACAAGGCCCAGGGACATGACGTCCAGCTAAGTCCTGGTGAGTAGGGACCCCAGAGGACAGGGTGGAGACTTTGCCTGCCAAGCTCCCCAAAGCCACAGGACCCCCCTTGGAGGGTAATTTTACCTCTGAGGACAGAGCGTGAGACCGAGGGTCTGTGCAAGGACTTGTGCATGACTTGGAGGCAGGATTGTGTACGTGTGTACGTGTGTGTGCGTGTGTGCTCAGTCTGGAAAACTGGTGACTCATTGAAAAAGGGAGCTTTCTGACCCAAAGAGCTTATTTTCAGCTATTTTTATCTCCTCTTGTATCTTGGCCCTTTTTCCCCTTGTCTTTTTCAGAAGTGGAGGAATTTGGGGGCAGTGAAAGCTGTGTGTACGCATGTGAGGCAAAGTCTGGGCTGAGAGGGGACCCCTGGGGGTGCAGGGACGGTGCACACAGGGGTCTGCGGGTGCACACTGGTCCCCTGCTTTGGTACGTGCACGTGTGGGCATACAAGCAAGGTCCCTGCCCTTCCCCCACCTGCAGGAACGCTCTGACGGGGCTGGGCTGTATCTCTGCGTTTTCCCGTTGACCTCTGCCTCCTCCCAGGCCCCAGCCCCTCACACCCACCCAGGTGGGTGCCCTCACGTGAATATGTGGACACAGACACAGTCCTGGGCCCCTGTCTCTGGAGTGGCCCTGGACCCTGAATTTTCTCTATTCTCTGCCCTGCCATCCTCACCCCAAAACACTGACATCTTCTCAGGAAGGTCTTTCTCTGCTCTGATTGTCGCTAGGGAACAAGAACTGGGCTTCTCTGGAGACTCACCCAACCCTCCCACCCACCCGCCTTGGCCCTGAGAGCCAGCAGTGGTCCGGCTAGCTGGGGCCAGCTTGTGCAGGGGTTTGGGGGCCTGGCCGCTGCTCAGAAAGAGGGACAGGAGGAGGGGAGGTGTTCTCTGATTTCTCCGCCTCGGGCCCTGCCCCTGCAGAGGCCAGAGCGGCCTCCTCTCCCCCCGCTCCACAGGGACAGCGCAGGGCGCAGACTGCGTCCTTCCGGGATCTAGAAGGCCTACGTGTCCCTTACCCAGGGTCTATGTGGACGTGACCGTATATGAGCACGTGTCCTGGTGTCACGAGGCACACGTGCACACGTGCAGATTCTGCACAGCGTGTGACAGACACTCTCGGTGTCACTGCGCGTGGGCGTGGCCACCTCCGGCCGGGGGGGGGGGGGGGGGGCGGGGCGTGCAGGTGTGTGCCCACTGTGTGTATGCGTGGGCAGACAAACCGGACACATGGCAGTGCCCTGCGCTGCTCTCTGAGAAGTGAAGGGAGAGGAGGATGCTCCGGAAGGCCTTCACCAGAAGCCGCTCTGGTCTCTGCAGGGGAGGGATGGGGGGGGGAACAGTGGGCCAGCCCCTCTGAGGGCTAATACCCAGTGTCCACTGCACACCAGGAGCTACAGAGCCTCTGGGCATCCTGAGCTCCGCTACGTCCCGCTGAGCCGGGCTGTAGTTCATGCCCGGCTCAAAGGCCCTGGCCAATGGAGGGGCCCGAACCCAGCCCGTGTGCCCGGAGGGGGCATGTGTCCGGTTTGTCCGCCCAGACAGTGCCTGGGCGTGGCGGAAGGAGCAGGCCGCATGGGGCAGGGGTGGGGGGAGGTGGGGTGGGGAAGGGGGAGGGGGAGGGGTGGGTTGGTGTGGTGGGGGTTGGAGGCAGACCCCGCCAGCCGGCCGCCCAGTTTCAGATCCTGCCCTGACTCTGGCTCAGCAGGCTGGCCTCAAGGAGAAGAGGTATTGAATTATAATCCTCTCTTCTCACCCTACATGGAATGGAAAATCTCTGGCTTTCTTGAAAGATCTGAATCCCTTCCAAGGGGTGCCTTCTAAGCGTCTATAAAATGGGGATCCTGATGGGGCTGCCCCACAGGGAGGTTCTGAAGATTCATTCAGGGGAAGGGTGAAACACGCACTAGCTTATTAGTCATTATTATCGGCCTGCTCTGTGAGCGAAGACAGTGGTTCTCAATCGATGGTGTCCCAGAGGACGTCTTGCAGTGTCTGGACACATGTTGGTTGGTGAAAGCTGCCGGGCTGGGGGAACTGGCCTCTAGGTGACAGAGACCAGGGATGCTGCTAGCGTCCTGCAGAGCACAGGATGCCCCCGCACAGCGGAGCACGCAATCCGAGAGGCAACTAGTGCAGAGGCTGGGAGCCGGGGCAAGGAGCTTGCGTTCCTCCTGAAGGCAACGCGCTGACGACGAGCTGAAGCACAGAATGACACAAGGAAATCTAGGTTCTAGAGAGAAAAGTCCAGCCAAGTTGTGACATGACTACAGAGCTCAATCAGGGGCCCTGCAGACCTGCAGATCAGCAAGGTGCCGTGAGAGGGGCCCGGGGTGGCAGGGAGACCAGGAAGGGGGCACCCGGAGAACTGGCCGGGGCCGGGGTGGGAGGACCGGTGGGGCCGGGGGCATGCTGAGGCTTCTAGCTTGTGGGACCGGGCAGGGAAAGACTCTGTCTGGCCTCCAGGAGTCATAGTTGGGGTGAAAGCACCTCCAGCAACCTGGACGTCAGCCGTGTCCCCTCCACTGCCCCCACCCTTCCCCCAGGACACAGGACCCCCTTCAGGAGACCCCTCCGCACGCCCTTGGGGCCCCGAGAGATGGGCATCAGATTTCCTCCTCCTCTCCCTTGGATGGGTGGAGATAGAGGCCCCTCAGCCGACCAGCCGCAGACAGAAGAGGACACTCTGGCCCTGAGGCCAGCACCCTCTGTAGCTTCCCAGGGGCCGGAGTTGCTGGGGGCAAAGGGGAGGACGTGAAGCCGGGTGGGCTTGACCAGCACGCAGACTGAGCCTCCTCTAGCCCCGGTCCCCCTGCCCCTTCACACGGGTTCTGAAGACAAGGTACAGGACACGGGGAGAAACCCCAGGCGGCCACGCCATCAGCAGGTGAACAGGTGGAGTCCTGAGCTGACGCCAGAGCAGTTTAAGACATCACCTCATGGGGAGGGCAGAGGACAGCCGGAAGACAGAGAGGCCCTGGCGTGGTCCAAGGAGCACGGGCTAAGGACTAGACCAGAGCTCCAGCCTGCACCATGCAGCCCGCAGCGGGTTCCTCACCTGTGCAGGTGACCTCTGACTGTCTAGGTTAAGGATGGCGGTAGCACTTCTGCCTGGACCACTGGGTTGACAAGGACTCTGAGGCTGTGGTTGATTTGTGACACCTGTGGGGAATGCCCGGGGATGCTAGTCAACATGTTGCTACTTCTCTACCATCCTGATTAAGAGCAATGGACAGGGGTCATTTGTAAGGGCTCTTCCTGCCTGCAAACTCTATCGTTCTATGATTTCGATGTTAAATTTCCAGGCACTGGCTGGAAACACAGTAAGTCAGAGCAGGAGGGGATTGAGTGGGTTAGAACCCTCAGCGGGGGCTTTGGGAAGGAGGCGGCACTCCAAGAAGCCGTGCGGCTGCCTAGTGCGTTTTCTGTACTGGAGGTGGGAGGACATTTATGGGCAAGAAAAGGGGGCTGAGCAGGGGCTGTTCCCGGTGCAGGAGGAGGAGGCCAGCGCCACGGGAACACGCGGTCTCCGTCTGGGCCAAACAGGATCACATGTGTGAGGTCGGTGGTGCGTGAAAACCAGAGCCAACTCCGTGGGAAACCAAAGAGCCAGATGACCCTGCGCACGTCATCCCAGGGGTCCTCGCCCATGCCCCCAGGTGAGCCCCGTCAGCAGCCTCCCCTTGAGGAGGGGACACAGGTCAGGGCCGGGGGTGACTGGCTCAGGGAGAGCCTGGGGGTCAGCCTGGCTCGGGTTCCGATGTACAAGCGGGACCTCTGCTCTGTGGCTCCCTCCTCTTCAGAGCAGTGGAGATTCTCTGAGATCCAGAAGGAGGGCAGGGACAGCTGCATCCCAGGAAGAAAGACCTGCCCGAGGAAGTGGACTGCCCGACAGACCCCAGCCAGGGACACCGGTGTAGGCGCTGACCACAGTGAGCGCCTCTGGCTTGGGTCCGGGCTCCTGGACGCTTTCCCCAGGCCCTACCTAACCAGTTGGATTATGTCCCCAAATTGCAGATAAGGCAGGAGGGCCTGAAATTCCAGGGCCTCTGGGCTCAGCCTGTGAGGGTGAAACAGATCTTGCACCCCACCCCACCCCACCCCACCCCCCACAGCAGCCCGAAATGAAATTCGAGCTCACTTCAGAAATCCTGGCTCAGCTTGGCCCCGCCCAGGGCCACAGCTCCCTCCCCTGCACTGTCACCCGCCCCCCACCACCAGCCCTGCTGGTCGCTGGGCACTTCTGTCCTTTCTCCCTCTTCTCTGCCTCTCCTGTTCCTGCCTTCCCTCCCAGGTCTCCCCAGCTTTTGCTCAATGGGACCCAGGAAGGTCTGCTGTGCTTCTCCTGCCGCCAGGTGCCCGGGCAGAGGGAAGGCTGGTGTCCTCTCCTCTGGGACTTGTCCGCATCCACCTGGGCCATCCGGGCCCGGCTCACCGCCTGCCTCCCTCCCTGCTGCCCACCCGGCTCTTTCTCAGCTGGTCCCACTCATCTCAGGGCCCCTTGAGGTCCTTCCTCTAGCTCCCCCGTCTGGGCTCAGGGCCACCTGGGCCCCCATGAAACGTCCTCGCATTGAGGAAGGGGCAGAGGGTCACGATGGGCCGGAGGCTCCCGCGGACCACCAGCTGCTCCGACTGCCCCCCCCCCAAGTTCTCCTTCTTGTCCACAACATGCTCCCTCCCAGGCCACTGGGCCCGCGTGGCCATCCTCACCATCGGGAAGTCCATCCTCAGCTCCCAGCCTGGTGTCACTCCCTCTCATTCTGGGGAGTAGCCGGCAGGGCGCTGCAATGGTGTCGCCCCCCAAAACACACCTCCTTACTTTCCCCACTTTTCCAGAGCTTCCAGTCCCAGCCCCCTGAACCTGAGGCAAAAGAAAAAGTGCTTTCCTTCCAGCAAGTCGTAAAGGGCAGCAACGCTGGGCATACGCAGGGGCCTCCAGCTGCCTCGCAGAAGCCCGTGGAAGCCCCCGACTCTCCACGGACTCCCGAGCCCTGCTTTCTTCCGGGGCCCCAGGGCCTGCGTCCCTTGGCCAAGCCTTTCCCCAGTCTGTCTACAAAATCACTCTGGGCCTTATCTGGGCTCCCTGACAGAACCATGTTGTGACAGGCAAATGGGCTCTGGTGTCAGAGACAGGAAGCCCGAAGCTGCATCTCCCTCTGCCTGGAGAGTGAGGTGATAAGAGAGCAGAGAGAGGGCGGCCCTGCAGCAGCCAGGGACCTGGGAGCCGGCCCTGACCTCACCTGCCGCTGGGCTCGGGCAGATGCAGGAGTCGCAGGGTGCTGTGGGCGCCCCATCTTCCCATCAGCCCCGCCTGATGCTGGACTAACAGGAGGGAAAGGAAGGCATCCCCACGGGGCCTGTGAGGATGACCTAAACCCCTTTCCAGTGGGAATAAACGTCAAAGTGCTACTTCTTAAAGGGGCCACCACCTGGCTGGGCAGGTAAGAGGGGCTGGAGCAGGTAGGTCCTGCTGGGGGTGTAGCAGCCATCCTGGCCCATCAGGTCCTGTTGTCTTTAGAACAGAGGCCCCGTTACATAAGCTCCAGCTGACTTGGTAGAAGCTATGACTAAGAAAACTTTCCAAAGACAGTTGGTGGCCCTCCACCCCCTCTGAGTGGTGAGAACCCCCCCCCCACGGAGAGGGGGGCAGAGATTAGGGCTCCGAGGCCCTGACTCACCACACACACAAACACTCCCCAACACTCTTTCCCAAAACGGTTCCCGCCCACCCGTCCGCCCTCCTACCCGGGCTGGTGACAAAAAGAACACCCCAGAGATTTTGCCAAGTTCTGGGCCAGGCTGAGCCCAGGGAACATGAAATTCCTCGTGGAGTGGGAGGCCGGATCCCCACAGAAGCAAACAATGTCCAGTCAGGGGACAACAACGGCTGCAGCCCACCAAGATCACCGTGTGGTTTCTCTAATAGCCAGGCTACTCTCCCTCAAAGAAGAGCTCCCAGCTCTGTAATCACAAATATTAGCTTGTAAAGGGGGTCTTAAGGACCACCCTTAGCCCATCCGCGGCCACCCCGTTTCCAGGCACCTACCCATCCACGCACACATCCATCTATTCCATCACCAGACAGTTACTGAGCTCCTACCATGTGTCAGGAACGGTCCAGGCAATGGTGACCCAAAGACTGGTCTTTCCTCAAGGATCTAATCTCTGTGTAGGTGAGAAAGGCAAGGAGGCAGCTGCAGCCCAGTGTGCTAAGTAGGGGACAGGAAGAAGGCTCGTTCTGGAAGCAGCAGGGGTGGGGCGGGAGGTGTGTGGAGACTTACTGGGAGAAATGACACCTAAGCTGAGATACGAACGAGAAGGACATTCCCCTTTATTCACTAAGGGGTCTGCTCAGCACGCAGTGTGGCCGGAGCAGTGCCAGGCAGGCTCCGCAAAGACGAGCTAGGATGGTATCCACTAGTGGAGCTGGCCACCTGGCGAGGGTGTAAAATAGAGGCCCGGACGACCAGGCTGTACTGTGAAGCGCCACCCAAGAGAAGGGTCCATGAGTCCCCGGGTGGGTCCAGGAGAGGACAAGGGGATGGATATGCAGTTGGGAAGGTCAGGAGAAGCTCCAGGGAAGGAATGGAATTTGGGTTCACTGTGGGGATGGATGGAATTTAGAGGCACAGATGAGGTGGGGTGGGCACCCCAAGCAAACGGAAGGACACCAGCAGACTTTAAGAGCCAGCGCTGTCTGTTTGGGAGGAGGAGAACAGACCGGTGTGACTGCAGCACGAAAGAGGACGTGATGGCAGCTGCGGCTTGAACACAGACCGAAGTCTTACAAGGGGTGGTTCTGAAATTTAAGGCGAGGCCCAGAGAGGCTAAGCAGTTTTCTCAAGGTCACAGAGTTAGTAGAGAAGCAGAGTTCACCTCCAGCGCTCCTTCTGCTGGCCCTAAGCCGCGGATTCCCCTCCCAGGCTTGGGGCCCCTCCCTATGGCCCACTCCCCTCTCCCCCGCCACAGGGGTCTTGCCCTCACGGCTGGTAGATCCCAGGCTGCCAGTGCAGGCTGCCCGGCTCCCAATCCTGCATTTTTAGATGAATACGGAAATGTTCTTAAAGAGGGTAGAAAAGTCATCTCACAGCCTGGGTTAGGGGCTCGGCCTGGCCCAGCCCAGCCCAGACTGAAATACCTGGAATTTCCCTAGCTGGCCCCTCTCCTCTTCCTCACCCGACCCAGGTCGCTGACCCGTGGGTTTACTATAGCCCTTTCTGTGCACCGTCCACGTCAGTCCACAGAAGTCCCTCTGAACAGTGGGCACAGAACCAACAGCTGGGGTTGGAAGACAGCGCTGCCTGCGTTAGGACTGGGTCGGTGGGGAAGGAGCCGTGGTGGCAGGAGCGGCCGCCAGGTGGCGCCATGAGCCTGGCGCCAGGCCAGCCCGCTGGTGGCCGACACCTGCTGTCTGGGCGGCCGGTTGGCTGTCCCGAAGGGCCACGGTGGGCTCTCCAGCGGGATCGGAGCGCGGGGGAGGCCCAGACCGGGGCTGCCCTCTGCCCCCTCCTCTTCTTTGTCAGCCGTTGGGGACCACGCGGTTGGATCCTACTCAGGTGGGAGGGCCAGCGTGGGGAGCGGGGAGCTGGAGGAGGTGTGTGTGTGTGTGTGTGTGTGTGTGTGTGTGTGTGTGTGTGTGTCCTTGGAGTTGCTTTTTTTTTTTTTGGCTGCCTTGGGTCTTCGTTGCTGCACACGGGCTTTCTCTAGTTGCAGCGAGCGGGGGCTACTCTTCGTCGCGGTGCATGGGCTGCTCATTGCGGTGGCTTCTCTTGTTGTGGAGCACAGGCTCTAGGCGCACAGGCTTCAGTAGTTGTGTCATGTGGGCTCAGTAGTTGTGGCTCACGGGCTCTGGAGCGCAGGCACAGTAGTTGTGGCGCAAGGCCTTAGTTGCTCCACGGCATGTGGGATCTTCCCGGACCAGGGCTCGAGCCCATGTTCCCTGCCTTGGCGGGTGGATTCTTACCACTGCGCCACCAGGGAAGTCCCTGTCCTTGAAGTTTGAGAGTCAGGGTGGGACAGGTCAAAGATGCTATTTTCTTAGTCTAACAAGCTTCTTGGAAACAAAGCCAGTACTTGGAGGGAAGCCAAACCCTGGATGTTTGCTGCTGCCCCAGAATCGGACATTTTAAGGGGTTTATCCATGAGATAACCATAAAAGGGAGTCAACTTCCGGTTGGATGCTTCTAAGAAGCTTCCTCTCTGGTTTTCATCCAAAACCCAACCTTCCCAAAGTCCACACAAACACTTTTCCCACCTCAGTTCATTTCTGTGGTTAAATATGCATTTCTACAAATGTCATTTTCCACACGCACACACACACACCCCCAACAGCTTTCTGCAACACACAGCTCAGACACACATCTGCGCACATGGGTTCCTCCCCACGCCAGCCCACGTCCCCCCGACTCCACCTCCCCATGCTTCTCACACGGGGGCTCCACACAGAATTCATGCATGTTACCTCATAGGCACTGCTCCACGCAGACAGGTAGATGCACACCCCTGTGCACGCACACGCACACGCACACACACACACACACACACACACACACACAGGCACCGAGACAGCAGACACAGGGTGATGCAGAGACAATAACAACCCCACGCAGGGTGAGGCCTGATCACCGTTTGACCTTGGGTGGGCAGTTTGTTTCCCTCTCAGCACAGGCTGGCTCTGAGCTCAGCTTGAGGAGGGAGACGAGGAGAAACAGGCCAGTCTGTCCTCGGCAATGAGGAGAGGGAGCCCCGGCTTTGGAATCTTCTGTGAGGTCAGGGATGAGGGAGATGCGCTCGGCTCTGCAGGAGCCAGGAAGGGTTGCCTTTGAACTTGGCCTTCGCAGGTCAGCCAAGGGAGTTTGTTGATGCAGGAACAGAAGTTACAAGAGCGTGGGGCTGCGTGTGTTCAAAACAAGGGGGAACCTGCAGGAGAAGGGAAGGACCACACCACAGAGATGGGAGCAGGGCTGGGACGGTGGGGACCAAGGAGCCAGTCGGAGAAAAAAAAAAAATCCCAGACTCGGGAGAGGGGATGGAAGCTGAGGGGGACCGGAGGAGGACCAGCCTGGGACTGGGGCGATGGGAGCGCGGGGGCGGGGAGCCCGGGCGGCCGGTTGGCAGCTCAGCCGCTACTTAGGAGCACACGCGCCCCTCAATCCTGATTAACAGGAATTAGTGGCGTGCGGCTAATCCTCCCGCGCTCCGTTAGCGCTCCCAGGCCTGCAGAGGGACCTGGCGGCCCTCCCCGCCCGGACCGGCCTCCCTGCATCCGCCGACCGGGGCGTCCAGCCAGGGGCAGGAGGAGGACGTGGTGGCTGGAAAACGCTCTCCACCGAGCTGCACAGGACACCCACCCACTGTACGTGTGCCCTTTCCTTTTCCTCCTTCCAAAGTCCGTGTCCCGTGTTTCCCGTAGACCATCACAGCACGGGACACCACGCGATCCACGCCCGTGAAAGAGTTAGGAGAAAAAACCCAGAGAACTGGGAGAATTTAACCCAGGACTGCCTGCTCAGTGGACGACTCTGGGCATCCTTGCTCCCCGCCCAGCCCAGCCCGAGAAGATGGTGGCTGATTTGCTCCTGGAGGAAGGAAAAGAGGAGATGGGGTGGGGGGAGGTGGGGGAGTTGGGGGTAGGTAGGAGGAGGAGGGGGGAGGCGAGGGAGGGGAGAGAGGCGGGGGAGGGGGAGGGGAGGAAAGAAAAGAGCTGGAGAGACTTGAACTTGCGATGGTGGCTGGGTCAGAGCCAGCATGCCCTGAGCCCAGACCCAGTGCTTTGTGATTGAGGACTCTGGCCTCCTTCCGGGTAGCGTGGGAAGCAGACTCAAGGTGATGAGGATTTGTGTGGAAGAGAGTGCCCCCCCCCCCCCGAGGGGACAGTCAGAGGGTGGGGAGAGAAAGTGTGCCTTTCAGGCAAAGCCTCAGCCCCAGCCCATCCTTAGAGGAGCCTGGAGGGAAAGCCAGGGAGCTGGGCCTCATCCTAGGAGAAGAAGCCCCTCCCCACCTGGGACACTGACTCCCAGGCACTGGGCTCCCTGAGCAGGGTGCAGAGTGCTCCGGGGGCCCCCGGCAGTGCCCTGAAGAGGGGTGGGCCGGCCACCCAAGGGAGGGAACAGAAGCTGGGGGAGCATAGAGCCGACACCCTCTGCTACTCACAGAAGGCTTGCTGGTGTCAGACCCTCACCATTCCCATAAAAGATAGCTAACTTAGATTTCTGAAATGTTTCTTCCCTTCAGGAGTTCACAGACCAGAAGAAAGACAGTTTCATGCTATATACACATGCACATAAATAATGACATACTGTGATAGATGCTATTTCAGAGATACCCTCCAAGAGGATTTGGAACACGGTGTAAGTGCTTAATTCTGCCCAGGGTGTGTCGGGAGTGTAAGGTGGGGCTCGATCCCCTGTTAGAAAGCCTTCTGTAATTCCCGTCTCCCGTGGGATGTGGTACAAAGCTCAGCCTGCCATCCAAGGACCTTTGCTGGAGACCCCTTCACCTGCTCCACTGATCTGGAAGTTGAGAACTTCTTTCCTTTTAAGGAGCACCCCCTAAATGTTCCAACTCCATATGCTCGAATTTTAAGTCTAATTTAAACATTAAGTGTCCTCCCTATGCTC